CAGCATGGCATCATCATGATAATCGGCAAAGACGCAGATACGTATGAATGTACCGCACTTCAAATAGCATCTCGCTGAACTGCTGACTAACTGGCTCGACGACATTGTATCGAATTAAATATAAATATATATATATTAGACTGCTCCAAAAAAAAAAAAATTGAGATATTTAAACCCGATCGGTTTTTGAAAATTTGCCTCAAAAAAATGGGTTTGGCATCAAAAAATCGAAAAAAGTAGAAAAAAAACCACTTTCTCAAAATTCATAAAATTTTTGAGTAAGGTAGTTTCGGAAGCCATTTTAGATCGCAACATTTCGACCTAAATCATTTTTCCAGCCAATTTTCCGCCAAAACCAGTGATGGGGTTTTATTTGGCTCGTCAATATCTATAACTTTCACCAAGACATTAGCCCTTAAAAAATTATTCTGGGCCAGTTACAATGTAAAATGTCCGAAAAAATGGCAATTTTTAGGCATTTCTTGCATTTGTTGATCTACCAATCACCCATGCGGTAGACTTTTGTTCAGATTTTGACTTGTGTCGTGTAGCTACAACCTATATAAACATTTTGGCACTTGTCAGATTGCAATTTGGATGAAATTTGGCGACAATTGATTCAGGCATAAAAGACAAATTTCAGGCCAAAATGAGCAAATCACAAACATGAGCTTCGGTTTGACAGATAAAAGCAAAAATGCCTTTTCAATGGCCAATGTCTTAGTAAAAGTTGTAGATATTGACGAGCCAAACAAAACCTCATCAACTGTTTTTGCCGAAAATTGTCTGGAAAAATGATTTAGGTCGGAATGTTGCGATCTAAAATGGCTTCCGAAACTACTTTACTCAAAAATTTGATGAATTTTGAGAAAGTGGTTTTTTTCTACGTTTTTCGATTTTTTGATGCCAAACCTATTTTTTTGAGGCCAATTTTCGAAAACCGATCGGGGAGTTTGAATATCTGAATTTTTTTTTTGGAGCAGTCTAATATATATATATATCGTTATGTAAGTTCATGAATTTACTATAATTTTCGTATAACTTTATCTCGTTGAGTTATGAGCTAGTTTCGTTCATAAACGTTGTGTTCGTTGTATTTACGCGGCGAGCAAATTTTTGTTTTGTTTTGACTCATTCGGAATAGAATGTCACGTTCTCATACTGCGACTCAACGCTGTGCTCTTTCCTCCTTCTCTCACTCGCTCTGTGTGTGTGAGTGTGACTTTTTTAATTATCATTTCAATTCACATTCAAGTAGTCGCCGTGCTGGAGCTGAATATTTATTATTTTAATGGGATCCTTATGCAAATCATATCCATATGCTTACTACAAACGAAGCGACGAAAAAGAGAAACAGCATTACACCTCGAAATGAAATTCAATTGGAAACAATTCCAGTAAATTATATTCACTAAGTGTATGGATAAGTAGATTAATAAGCAAGACAAAAACAACAACGAAACGAAAAAAAAATGACTGCGTAAACTTTCAATAGCGCAAAAACTTGTTTGTGTATCATCAGATTACAGCGCGCTCGACGCTTATCAAATGTCCTTCTTCGCCGACGACGACGACGCTATTTTACAAGTAAAATGCATGCTAATGTTGAGAGTAACAATTTGATTGTGTGTAATGATTAAAGTGATCGCAAAAAGCGCGGGAAAAAGTGAAAAAGCATCGAATATGACGAACGACCGAGAACCAACGCAAATGTGCTTGGAAACTTGATAAACTGTTACTATATCAATCGCTATCGTCGTTCAGTCGGCAAAAATATATATATGGAATGTGTTTCTCTCATGTGCTTACCGTATTCACGTACGAATAACGTACGGTCCCAACCAGAAAACAAATACACACACGGTCAATGGTATCGTCGTTGCTACGAATCAGCCAACATACATATCGCAGTCGTCGCAATCGGTGTGTGTGTGTATGTTTGTATATCTGTAGATTTATAGCGGTGAGAGAGAGAGAGCACGTTAATTTTGTTCACATGAACCTGGTCAACGTGATTGAAACTCAACTACCGTCTTTCTTTTATAGATAAAATACAGAAGAACGGAAAAAAATGGTAGCGTATAAAAATCAAAACAAAAACAACACACGATCAGAATGTGCCGTCCGAGCACACACAACACACTATTGTGCTATCAAAATGCTTCCTTTTTTCCTCGTGAAACATTTCTGCCATCTGGTTGCTACTGTGCTTTTATTTGCACAAACAATTTGAATGAAGTTTTGTCTAACATTCTTTCTCTCTCACTCATATACACGTACACGAAATTCCATCTGTAACGATAATAAATAACAATTAAAGCAATGAGAAGGGCAATGATAACCTTTTTTGTAGGAACAAAAAAAAAATTACGCTCAACGCTGAAAATAGACATACGTTCGCCATCAGAGCGGAAATTTTTTCGCTACTTTTGTTAAATCTTTCATTGGTCTATCTTTGAAATAAATGTTACCCCATTCGCATGAGGGAGGGAGGAAAATAGCAATAGCAAAACGAAATAATTCTTTGAATCGAATACCGTTACAGCATTGGAAATAACTCAATCGTACATGAGCGCACGATAAAGATCCAATTTGCAAATTTTCAAACTTAAAACCATTCGTAACGTTCAATTTTCTTCGATTACACTAATTAGAATGGGTTTGATTATAATGGACAGGAGCAATAATTATCACTGTAATAAAACTTCCGGAGAGTGCCAATTTTGAGTGAATCAATCTTGGCAATCATTCGGTAGACGTTATTTAACAATATTTTCTTTTCGCTTTTTTTCGTTTTCAACGAACTTCATATCTTCATCAGTAAAATCGGATTCCACCACTTTTTTAAATTCAGAGATTTAATCATTTTTTTTTCGTTCAAATTTTGATAACATTTCCGAGAAACTTTCAATCAGATTACAAGTACATGTGTTTATCACTTGTTGTCCCTCCCACCAACCAATTCAATTGATCGTTATTTTATTTAATTTCTTGGACTTTCTGATTTGCTGTTTATCTTGTTGTCATTGGCAAATGACAATATTTATTGGTTTCTGTTGTGTTACGTGTTTGCTGATCTCTCTCACTCTTTGTCAATTTTCTTGATTTTGATCTTGTATTGCATATATTCTAGGTGATTTCTCAGTCAAAAAAGACTCTAGCGCCCGCAACAAATTTAGGAACATTTAAAGGTGGATCGTTACCAAATGTATCTGAACAAAATCGAAAGCAACAAACGACAAATGCTCAAGTTGTTGATGCTGCTAATGTAACTGGCAAAAAGGTGCAAAAACAAAACAAAACCAAAAATACACACACTCACAATTGTATCCATGCGTATAATTTAGCCATTTATCTTTAGTCGTGATTATGATGCGTGTGCATGTGCCCGTTTGGAGATGAATATGCAATTATTTGCTAGTATTGTTTCATAATACAATTTGTTAGCAAATTATTTGATAGACTTTTTGATTACATCAAACACGGAAAAATTGTGTTTCTTGTGTCGATTTTTTTGTTTGTTTCTCTTGTCTTTGTTTTTGAGTTCACATGTGAACCTTTGACCCGTCTCTTGTAGGGGGTAGAACGTTTCAATCTGTTTATAGTTTGTGATTCTTGAACATGAAATTGCAAAGCAATTTTTAAATTTAGAAAAAATGTGTGCCCGAATCAATTTAATCTTGTTTTCTATAAACTGAATGCTTAATTTTCATTTGCTTTTCTGTTCTTCTTCTCGTCCAAATCACGTCGATCGAATCGAGAGAGAGAGAGAAAAATTAGTCGAAAAAATGACGATTGTAGAAGAAAATGCCGAGTTTTATGTTGCATGAATTTAGTTTGTTTATAACTTGCGGTGATTTTAGAAAGAAATCAAAGCTTATCAATGCGCGCAATAATTCTGAAATACTTTTTCTAACTTATTATGATTTCAAACTACTGAAACAATCACAACCGAATGAAAAACAACCGATTTGATATGACATCAATAAATATGGAGACAACTGGTTGATCACTTTTTGCTTTTCTGTTTGTATCAAACTTAATTTTTCCGAACATGACAAAAAAAAAGGAAAGACGACAAACAACTGTACAAATATTGACTGAATGACAAATGTTCCATATTTTGAAGCCAGTGTCAAATTTTTGCTGGACCTGTACCTGGCACATTCTTGAATAATATGTGGTTTTTTGTTTGGTTTTCTAGTTGTAATTTATCTTTATGAAGATTTAAAATTCAAATTTCAAACCACATTTGGCAGATGTTTAAATGACTTTATTCCAGGAAAAAAGAACACCCATCTTTTTACTTGCATAATAGTGTGTATATCTTTTATAGTAGAAAAATTAGAAATGATTTTTGACTGAACAACAAAAATTCGCATCAATTCCTTTTTTATTTTAATACAAATTGGATCTTATCCATAGAACTGTGTGAAAAAGTCTAGCGTTTATATATTAGATACCATTTAATTTCCGGCTTTTGTATTGAATATTGTTTGTTTGAATTGGCTTTGCTGACTTGAAAGATTGTTCTGTTGTTGGGTTAAAATATGCCGTCCCCCCTGTTTGAAGTGTATGTCTTGAGCAAAAATTTATTATAGACAATTTTCACATTCAACATCCAAAGTGATGCCAAATTGCTTTATGTCAATATATGCCATGTCTTGCATTCCGAATGACAGATTATGGTAGTTATCCTTTTTCTAATTCGAACTTACCGCGCTTCAGGCGCTTTAAATGAAACTGTGCTCCGCTTACGGCGGATGCAAAGTTACGATCTTGGATGTGAAATATGCAAATCAAATCAAATGAAATTTTGTAGTAAAACCGTAGCAACAATTGGGACTTGCTTAAGTTTTAGTATGCTTTTGAATATTATCATGGCAAATTTTTCGTTTTTTGATTGTTGTTGAAAAGTTATTAAACTTCCTTCAGTATTATAGTGTATCAAACCACACCACAAGAAGATACTTACGAGTTTTTTTCTCTAATTCTTTCAGCCGGATGAAAATACATTGCTGCAGTTTAGCTTGGGAACTCAAAATACAATAAACGATGTAGTACAGCAGAAAAATAGCAGTAGTCAAAACACAACGCCATACCGGGAAAGAGGTAATTGTATACCGCACAATTGTCTCATTGCAATGAGACGCGAAATTTATTTCGAATTAAATCACAAGAAGCAAAAAAAGAGCAAAATTCATAATTGGCGTCTGTGTTTGCAGGTCGAAGTGTTGGAGTGGGTCCTATGCGTCGGCCAGGTGATAGGAAAATTGATACATCACCATACAGTAGCGGAAATATAGCCTATCTCAGCCCACCAAGTGACTCAAATTGGAGACGAACTAGCTCGGACTCAGCCATTCATCAAAGTTTAATGCAAAATCAAGTAAGCCCCATCATCACCTTTCATCCCATTCATTTTCCGAAATCCTCCAAATGCTAACAATATGCGACCACAATCTCATCTATTTGAAGGACAATCATCACAGTCATGGATCTCATTCGCCAATACCAACCAGTCCAGTTGCTCAACGACGTATACAAAGTAGCAATATAGATATTAAATCCTTTGCAAATGATCATGGCAATAGTTTTGTGTTGAGCTTAAATGATAATCGACCGAGATCGTCATGTGGATTGCCTAGATTACCTGGAATTAAGTACGTTGAGAACAAAATTGACGACCAAATTCTTTTGGTTGCGAATCTTTAATGTTCATGTGTTTTTCTTTCAATTTCACAGTATTTATCCATCGGCTCACGACAATTCAGTGCAAATACCAATTGGAAATAATACAGGATCGTTGCCCGACTTGACGTCCGTTCATTTTCCATCGCCGTTGCATACGCCACTCGATCAAGAGCACGATCACTCAAGCAGTCCGTACAGTTCGGTATGTAGCCCAGAGTGAATGGCTCGAAAAACATGTGGAATTGCCCGTTCCCAATTCGAATAATTCATTAATGTATTCTCAATTCAAACGAACAGAGTCCGGTTACAACATCACCAGCAACATTATCTCCGACGTCCATACCAACAAGACATCCTACCGCTAGATTCCCATATTCCCCTGTCAATTCTCCTGGTGAAGTAGTCAGTCCTACACATTCACATGGTACTAGTCAAGTAAGTGTCTCGATTCATTCAGTCAACACCACACAAAGCGTGCTATTAGAATATCATGCATTATTCTCGACGCAACACAAACAAACACAAACACTTTTTTCTACCATTTTTCATTCTACTCACTGATTTCTCACGTAATTTGATTTAACTTCGATCGTGTTTAATTACACCAACACACACACACATACACATACACATACACACATAGACAATTATCACTCCACATATTTACAATTGATCGAAAACGTTTATTTAACCCACATCAATTACGTTTTCCATCATTTCGTTTCATTTTATGCTTCTTTGGTTGATTTTGTTTTTGCCACACATTTATTTTATTTTTTACAGCATTTTTTATCTGTGCCCGGTAGCAAATTTCTTCAAAATGTTAATAAGGTATTGCTTATTAGTTCATCTTAATTTGATTTTTAATGTGTTATTTTTTTCGTTCAAATTTAAAACAACAAACGTCAACAATTTTTTTTTTAAATTTTCATTTAGAATGAAAACAAAGTAATGAATTAGACTTGCACACACAAAATCATGCGTGATCAATTTTTGACGTGTTTAAATGCAAATTTAACACTTATCTTTTTGTTTTGCATTGCAATGCTCGTTTAATGTTCAAAGCTAATAATAATACGGCAGCTCTATGTAATTTTAAAATATCATCAGTACTTTCTGTTGTTGTTGTTTTATGATTTTGCACTCTTCATAAACTACGCATTGCGTGATTAAAAATTGCTAAAACATTTCAAATGATGACGTCGCAAAAAACTCTATTCGAAAAGATACATATATGCAAATTTGCACAGGAGTGATGTATTTGCCCAAAATCCCAGTATTCATCTTCTCATTTTGATTGAAATCACCGAATTTAGGGTAACACGGCGTCTCAAAGCGGTCAAAATTCGTTCGGAAATGTCCAACAACAACAGCAGTCACCACGACAGCAACAGCAACAACAGTCACAGCAACAACAGCAGCAGCAACAACAGCAGCAGCAACAACAACAACAACAACAACAGCAGCAACAGCAACAACAACAAACGAACATGTATAGCCAGCAAAACCAGCACAGTCCACCGAATAATGTCCTGCACGGCTCTCAAAGCAACTTAGCATCAGTAATTATACCAAAACCATCATACGGAATCGATGCCATTTTTTATAATCCATTTCATTTGTTTTGCTCTTATTTTTGCTGCAGTTGACACAATCAAATTTATCGGGCTACCGAAGTCCGGGGCGGCCGAGTCCAGGATCCAGCCCGGGCCTAGTAGCAATGCCAAACAGCGGTGATTCAAACACAAGTGCACCTTGCAGTCCAGCATCCCAACCACTTGGAAACAATGGGTAGGCACATTGACGCCGATTTTTGCATTTTCGCATGAGTTATAACTGAACTATTTGGTCTTTCACAGGCAATACGACCAATTTCAAACGACTGAATACTATCTCAATCCATCGATTCAGCAACATTTTGAACAGTTTTCATTGGCAAGTATTTTTTTCACTTTACGCCGTTTTTAAGAGCATTTTAAGATTGTGCCCATGCATTTGTTTGAAATTTTTAATTCGATACACCACTCAGAAAGCCTTTTGAGCAAATGAGCAATTTTTTCTAAAAATTTATACGAATTAGTTTTTTTTTTGTAGAAACGTTTTCCATTTTAAAATCTTTTTTCAACAAATCAAACTTCTATTTACGCTCGTCGTGTAGCTTTTTTTCAATTAGTTTTGGTTTTGCTTGAAAATCAGATATGACGCCTTTTTAAAAAATCGTTTTAGATTATTTTAAATAGAGTTTTCCTTGAAACAGTCGACTTCTCCTTATTCTTCCTTCTAATGCTGAGTTTTTCAAAGTTACCCCGTTAAGAAGACGAGTCGTTTTAATTGGAAAATACAAACCTCACACTCAGGGACTTTTTTACCGGGAGCAGAGTGGTGCAATGTACCAGAGCGCAAACGATTTGAGGGCGCACAAGAGCGCCATATGATTTTTTTTAGGTCTTTTAAATTCAAATCGAACGAGAGAAGTAAAGGCGCGAAATTCTATTGTCTCCACATGACACCGCTTCTGGCACTCGCGCACTTCGGCGCTCTTGTTCGATTTGAGTTATAAATAACTAAAACAGCAGTTCCGTGTTTGCGTGCTCCCAAAATGAAATCCGAAAAAAAAGATATATTTTAATAAGCCAATGAAAAATAGCATTCAAGAATAGAAAAGACCAAAAAAAAATCCGCTCGCGCCGCTTTTAAATATCTACAAAAGGGCCAAAATCCTTATGGTAATGATATCATTAGCATATAGTGCCTACAGATCCTTTTCTTGGAAGAGGGGTTCTGGGAAAATTTCGCATGCTCTTCGAAAATTGTGTCTTTCAAAAAATCATGTCTGGCTGCCCTACTGTTTCAATTAGAGGCACTAAGAAATTTTTGCACCATGGCACGGGCGGTGCAAAAAAAGTCACTGCTCAGTGCTCACACTCTGACTCAATTGCTTTTGCATAATTTGCTTTGGTCCATGTTTATTCCCACCACATAACCATAAACGATTATAAACCATGGCTTTTAGCTTGGTCCAAAATCATTCGTTGATGCATAGTGAGTGTATCCAGTTAAGATAAAATGTAATTTCTTCAAAGAAAAAACCAATCGTTCGTCATGCAAAATGATTTGAGTGCATGTGCCGCTTATGATATTCTTTAATTCTAACGGAATGTCTTTTCTAGATATTTTTTGAGTGTATTTTATTTTTATCAATGTTTTATTGCGTATTTCATGCTTCCAAATTTGATTTTAAAAAAAAACCAATCATTTTGCAATTAAAAATCATTTTAGGGAACGGTAAGTCATTTGAAACATTGATTTTTATGGTTTTGCACGCAATTATCGTTTCAATCTCAAGCACTTTATAGTTGATTTTTTTCTCCTCAATTCTTTAAAACGACCTACGGTTCCTTCTGCTAGTTTTAACTTTCTTCGCTTATATATTGCCTTGTTACTTGAGCATCCTTTTTTTGTTTCGTCTCTCTTCTTTCGCAAGACAATTTTTTTCCTGAATGCAATATAAGTAGACAGAGATTTTTTTATTTTCAAAAAATCATTGACATTTTTTTTGCACCGTTATACACAATATATAGAAGTTTAATTCATTAAATGATAACAATATAAAATCAATTTGCTCGATTTATCTTCATTGAAACTGAAAGTAACGATTTGATTCACTTTTTTACGTGCTGCTTGCAATCAAACAAACAAATATTGCTAACATATAAAAAAAAAGGATTGGGCGGCACTTGTTAACACGTTGGTTGAGTCGGGTTGTACGTGGACTGCACAAGTTCAGGTGGTAGATAAAACGCAATAATTCAACATACGCTCTTTATTTTGTCATCTTATTTAGATTTTTTTTTTCGTTGACTTAAAGAGAGAATAAAAAAACCAGTCAAATGTTTCGAGCAAAGTGCAATTTTGGTTTTTTCCCTTGTTTTTAAAAATATTTTTGTTTTCTTTTGTTTGAGTTAAGGTAGAGCTCGACATTGATCCGAAAAAAATTCATGTAGAATTTTAATTTTAATTTCAATTGTATAATTTGATTTTAAAATGAACGAAATGTTTGACCATCAGAAATATAATTGGCTTTTGTTTTACTCTATGTCAACAGGTTGATAATCCGTTAACCGATTATTCAGCAAATTCACCTTTGAACCAGCCATATTCACCGGTATGAAATGATTTATCTTATAAAATCAAATGCATTACAGCTAGGAATAATATCAACTTCCATTTGTTGAAGCATTTGCTGAAAATTTAGAATGAAAAAAAAATATTTAAGAAAATCCGAACTAAACACCATTTCGAAATTCTTGTCAACAGTACGACGACGGCAGTTTTATACCAGTTTCTGGCTTAGACACGATACAAACGAATCAAATGCAAATATCATCATCAATGGGCCTTTCAAATCCGAATATTAATTTAAATTCAACCACGATGGCCAACGATGGAACAAACCATGTGAATCAAACGAATCAAGCGCATATGCAGCAGCCGTTGCATTCGCCGACGTCGCCGCAACATCAAAACACATCGCAAAATCAACAAGCGTCCAATTCACATCATCAGCAGATGACGCAAAATTCGCAAAATCAACAGCATGGCCCACAAACGCCGAACACACCAACAAGTATACCCGAAATTATATTCACGGACTTTTCAGGATCTAGTGAATTGACAAAAGGTAACATTCTATTTCGCTAGGCTTTAGACTCTAGCCTGAAGTCTAACAGAAAATAAAAAAAGAAAAGTCGAAAAAATACGGGCGAACACTTTTAAAAGGCGAATCCTTACTAAAACACCAATCATCATTTGATTAGATAGTATTTTTTTTTCTTTTTCAATTTTCAAAGGTGGACAATGTTTATTTGAATTGAAATAGATCAGTTTTATATACATACCCTTTCAATATACCAATATACCATTCATAAAATACCGATGAACGAAATATCGGTGGATTTGAAATCAATAGTAACGTAAAATTGCATGAATGTAGACATCGAACATTATGAAGCGGTCCAACCGTGCAATTGATGCACTCAGCATTCATGGCGGTGGTGGTGTAGAGGTTAGCACACTTAAGCGTTAGTCGGGTGGTCTAAGGTTCTATTCCGCAGTCGTCGAAAAATCTTTTCTCTGAAAAATTACATATGAAAATATGTTCTATTGACGAGAATTGATTTACCGTGGCTGTTGTGTGTGTTGGTTGTTCGAAGAAAAAAAAATTCTGCATCGAATTGAAACAGTGTAAATCACTGCCTTAGTTTGATGTGAGAGTGATGACGTGGCATAGTGTAAGATGGTTTTCAAGCAATGCAATGTGAATAACGATTTCAAATTACAAAATAATCTGATGGGACTAATTAATCCCGACGATTCGCTGGAAATTACCATATCAATATGGATTTTTAGTTAAAACCGTACTGTAATTGGAAATAATTCAGTACACATACGGTCTCTTAGCTCAATACAACTACCTAAAAATGTTCGTATTAAATCAGAGCCGTCACCTCACCTCACCTCACCGTTGCTTGTGTATAAAGCAAGTAACACAACCATTCATACCTTTACTGTGTGCTCGAACATTTTCCACTTTTGAATGGTTTCTTTATTTCTTTTTCTTATGAATTCCAGGGCATTTATTAAGCCATTTTATTGAATATTAGTTTTTTAGGATGAATGGTTCAATTTGATTTTTCAACACTTTTAATTTTCGCTATAATTAAACCGATTCTTTTTTTTTTCAAATTGCAATTGTATTTATTGGTTCTTTTTTGTTATTATTTCCTTTTGTAAAATGCTGAATTTCATTTTTTTTATTATTTTTGCGTAATTTGCTTATCTTTACTTTAATTTTGTAGTTTTGATTTTTCATTTTGGGTTATTTAGTTGAACTATGTAATGTTTTGTTTTTAAGTTACTTCTTTCGAGTAAAATTTAGAGATAAATAAATCAAATTAAAAATAATTTTTCTAGAGTATTATCGACCGAAATTGCAAAAAAAAAAACATGTGCTTTCGGCTGTGAATTATTCCTTTTTTTCTGTTTATTATTAAATAATTCATAATCATAATTGCTCTGCAAATTGTTTCCCATTTAGCTGAATCCACAATGTTTTTTTCTCTTTTCTTTTTCTTCTATATATAATCTGTCTGTCACACACACACACCATGAATATCGAATATTTCCATTCGACCGCGTGATGCTAAAACAAAATAAATTTAAAAAAATATCCATTATTTCGTGCTGGCATACAAACACACTCACACACACATAGACTTATTCGATCAACCAATTGAATTGGAATTAGGAACAATGGATTTCGCTGGATTTCAAATGTTATCGGATCCGAATGCAACAATGATTGCAGATCCAACTATCGAAGATAGCTTTAGGAGAGATTTAAATTAAGTCCAATTTACAAAAAAAAAGAGATAAAAAGAAATAAGTATAGAAAACAAATGCAAGAAGCAAAATGAAATGCCATTATGTTCTTGGTTCTCATCGGGGGTCGAGCTGATGTTTGCCGGGACAATAATCTACGTCAAAGTGCAAATTAACGTAAACGAAAAGCCGAATTAAGCTGAAGAAGTCGAAATAGAGAGAGAGAGAGAGAGAGAGAGAGAGAGAGAGAGAGAGAGAGATAAATCAGATGTAGAAGAACTCACTGCTCTGCGAAGAAGCTTATTCTCCCGGATGAACACCACTTGACCGTAAGAGTAGATATGTTTTTGTTAGATACAAATGGATTTTATTTAAATGAATGAAGAAAAAAGCAAAGAAATTAAGAAATTATCATAAAAGTAATTATATGAATTCACAAAACGACACACCGAATATGTGCAGTTTAGACTTTCATTTTTTTGTTTTGTAAATAATGGGATTTAAAAAGAAAAAAACACACACAATCGTACGAGAGATGAAACAAACAAATTTATCGAAATTGGCATACAGTATTTATAATTATGCTGATTGAATAGAAAACGACGAGTTGATGCAATTTAAAATTGAAAAAAAAATCCGAAGGATACACGTGTTTTTGTTACACCGCGTTCACTTGAGTCAGTGAAGATTTGAAGAAGAAAGAGAAAACATTTAGCAGAAGCATTTCAGTTTGGTTCGAAAATAAAACAAACATGAAGATTTGAACGGGAGGGGAAAAAACAAATCAATTGCGAAATTAATTCCGGAAGTAATATTGATCGAAAACGATTTTTTTTTTTGTGAATATGCACACGTTACATTTTCAATGACTATTTGTGAATAATTCCGTCCAACATCCAATTACAATTCGTATGTTTTTTTTTTTGTAATTTTTGAAATGAAAGCGTTCGATTCCGTAAAGTATTTCCACAAAAAAGAGAACAAAAGAAAATCGCTTATTTTCTAAAACGGTCACAACGGACTTCAATTTCGTTTTGTATTTTTTTTTTCATCCCCAAAAAGAAATTGACGCCAGTTTAGTGCTGGTTTGCTGCTCTGACACCACATTACACACAGTATGCTGCCGCTTTGCCGCTCTCACACTACAGCATGTAGTGTAGTGTGGTGTGAGAGCAGCAAACCAGCGCTAAACTGGTGTCAATTTCTTTTTGGGTCGTTTCGTTTGTCAACTTCAATCGAAGTGAATCTTTTTTTTCGCGCGGTAAACGGTTTCAATCAATTCTATTTGTTTTTCAATTGAGAGAATATATTTCAATTTCTATGGAGGAATAATTGAATTCGCACATTCATTGGGACTTATGAATTCTCTGACTCGATTCGGATTGGGGACAAAAAGATGTCAATATACTGAACAAAAACACCTATATTTCAACGCTGAATGCAGACCAGAAATCTGTTGAATATACAAAAAAAAAAGACACAAAACCAAAATCCATTTTTTTACATCCAAATTTCTCTTTGTATTTTAAAAAAGAAGAAAAAAAATCTTTTGTCTTATTTTTTGGGGGTTTGAATAGAGAGCATCGGCGAAACCAAATAATGTAATTCAATCGTGAACAGAAATAGAAAAAGTAAACGTGAAAGAAATGTACAACTTAAATGTGAATGGAATGCCGTAAAAATGGAAAAAAAAACCTAAATAAATAAGCGATGTTAATTGGCATGCATTTTGCTCGGAAGTTTGTGGTGCCGTGTGTCATATGGACCGTCATTTTATTAACGATCTTGTGAAACAACAGCCACAAAACAAAAACAAACAAACATAAAATTAATACATTGTCGTGTATGAATGTAGATCGATGTGAATCAATAACAATTCTTTTTTATTCCTTCTGTTGTTATAAAATGGCAAACAAAATAGCGACGAACAGTTGAGCAAGTAAAGTAAACAGAAACAAATAAATATAAAATCACAATTTTGTCAGTAAAAATTTAAGTAACAAGAGAGAGAGAGAGAGAGAGAGAGAGAGAGAGAGAGAGAGAGAGAGAGAGAGAGAGAGGGAGAGAGAGAGGAACACTTCGAATAATATCATCAGTAAACAATTGTCACAAAACGCTATTCTATTATCAAATCTTTTCGCATACAGAGTCTGAACATTTAATAGAATTAAAAAAAAATATCAACAACAACAACAAAACACAGAAATGAGCATAAAAACAACAACATTTGATTCAATTTCTCTTCTTTTCTTTTTTTCCGTTAAAAATAAAACCGAAAAACAAAGAAAAAAAATAATAATCATTATAATTACGATAGTGGAAAAAATGTGTATAATTGTCAATCACACACAAATTTTTTAAACATTCTGCACAAAAAAAGGGAAGTTAATCTAATAGAGAGGAAAAAAACAAAAATCGTTAATCATGGAAGTCGAATTTGTATGTAACAAATAAATGTTCATTGAGAGCAAATAAAAAACAAAAACAAAGCGCGCTTTCGACTTGAGCGGCCGTTTATGCAAATAACACGCAGCTTCAAAACAAAAATCTGTCAAAACACACACACACACAAAATCACACACATACAAATCGTTACGCAAGCCCCTTAAATTCGTTCCGTTTCCATTCAAAGTTCTCTCAATTGTTCTTTCTTTCTTGGATTGACTTGAATGTGTAGAAAAATAAGCAGTGCTGATGCAAGCACCAATCTCATGATATTTTTTCTACTATACGTTCTTGAAAAATGTCATTTGCCTCTGTTAAGCAAAGATAGAAAAAAAACCAAAAAAAAAAAATTACTGCACACGTGTAAGATAACTAAGCCTTTTGATTGTGCTAAACGTGTCTTATTTAAGAAAATGTTAAATATTTGTTCTTCCTTTCGGGATTTTACTCTTTTTTAAGTGTATTTTCGGATATCAACCTCATTTAAGAAAGATGTGTAACATTTTTCCAATGAAAACTCTCTCCTCTCTTCGATTTTTTTACAGGAATCGTCATCCAATTTCCATTCAAATGCCACGGAACGCAATCGTATCGACTTGCTTGTTTAGTTTCTGGGTAAAAAAAAATGTGTTTGAATGGAAAATTCAACGTATTTCTCATCGATATAATAGTCTGTAATAAGTTTCATGAAACCATTTATTTATAATCTGTTTTCTACATTCGACACCCCCTTCCTCCGTCAACAGAACATATATGTTGTCAATTCTTTGTATGAAATGGAACAATCTCTATAATTATTGCTTCTAATGCTAACGAAAAAAAAGATCGGAACTCACTGCGATCGAAAAGGATTGGAATTGGGCCATCATACCTACACAAAGACTGTTTGTAAGAAAAGAAACTCATTATTGCTGTGTGCGTTAAACCTGATTACATGATAATATAGTTGAATTTCAGCAAATATTACATTTCATTGTGATTCATTATAATGCTATCGTACCATATATTACTAACACATAACCAGAAAAGGAAAAAAAAGAAGCAAATCTGATTTTGTTTTCATTGTGAATATCGATGCAAGCAATTAATAGCCAGCATTTTCTGAACCACCATTTCACATATAGTCAATATGTACGTTGACAATTTTCACAAATCTACTAAACGAAAATATTAAATAAAAACCAATGAATCCCCTTTTCTAAAATAATTGGTTTCGTCATCAAATGTTCAGAATAATACAAGTAAAACAAACCGAATCAAATCATGTTTTAACATTGAATTTTAGATTGAATCGCGCACCACCATAATCCATGTAATAAATGGCACAACAATACTTTCGTCTTATTCACTGTTGCCGTCTTCAATTTTGAAAGAGAAAAACCTAAACGAGAAGAACAAACGAAGCAAACCATGTTTACAGTAATTTTGATAGTTTCCACGGTCCACCCACCATCCACGATTTTTCATTTGGATGGATTGTTTGGGCTCATCATATCAGCTTTTTGTCTCAATTAGCCAGCATTGGTCAGGGGAAAAACGACAAAGAAACGAACGAGAAACAAAAATGCATGATTCGGTTTGATAGATTCGAAGCACCAAACAGCACAAAATAAGCTGAAGTATGAATATTCCATGATTATTTATCACATGTTATTTGAATTGAATGTGAAAAACACACTCACTCACATACACACGCATTCAAATAAACCGGATTCTAGAGCTCTAGCATTCAGAATGGCAAAGAAATCGAGGAAAATAAACAACAAGTGAAAACAAAACAAATATTTACGGACATAAAAAATCAAGAGGGAAGAAAAAGAAAAGAAACTTCTTCAACATTTAATGTATTGCAAAGAAGCTAGACTTAGTGGCAATTTAAAAGAGAAACACCTCGGTAGAATTCATTGCTACACAGCGACAAATGGATCTTTTGACTTCGGATTTAAACAATTTTTACATTTAAATTTCAGAAGAATAAGAAGAAAAACACTTACACTTACTTTTTACTGTTTAAAATAAACAGCGTTTTATTAAGAAATCATTGATTTTCTCTCTCTTTTTTTCTGTCAATTTAATAGAAATACATTTATTTTTATTGTCAAATCGTTGTAACATATTATCATCTTTGAGGGACTATGAAAGAGAATGAATTAATAAAAATCGATTATTAAAATCTATGCATAAAAAAAACTGAACTGAATGTTATTTTGAGTTGTTTTTTTTTCGTTCTTCTTTTTCAATGACTACATGTTACATGTGAAATTGACCACGTCAGCATTGGCCGCTGCCCCGGCAAAAGAAGAAAATAAATCAGAATGAAAATGACAAGAAAATTGTATATTGACAAGATTGAGAATTTTTTTCTCTCGTCACAAAATATATCAAATGTTTCTATTTGTTTATTAATGCTTATCAATTTTTATCATCGTCTGAATGTACCTATATCCTAAGAATTTTATTTCTAGTTAAATAAAAACAAAAATTCTATTTAAAAAAACCAACAACAAGAAAAAGTATTCACAATCTGGATCATCCATCGATCGAACCGTTGCAAACAACACACACACACACACACACACACACGCACTACTTGATGCAATTAACGTGCTAGGTGCAGTGCATCTCTGACTCAATCTGCTCTGAACTGGGCCACATTTTGAAATGCAGTTGATTCATGTCGAATTCGTTTCGGTACCATCTCAGTACTTACAAACAAAAACAAAATGAATACTTTTAAGAAACGCACAAAAAAAATTCTCAATTTGTTTTTCTAATTTCTAAAATCGTTACGGAAATTTCTCCGGTGGAATCAATGATAATGATTTGAGCGATAAGTGGGAAATTTATGTTCCAAACACATAATTATAATCTTGTTGAGCGCCGTGACACAATTCGAATAGCATTGATATCAACTGTATGGAAAAGCCAAAATGCATGAAAGTCAATATTGGACACATATCGATTGCATTATAAACATTATATGTTTACGGCGAGATATCGGTGTGACTTTCAACGTGCGGCTTAATCTCATTATTGAGATGAAAGGTAAATAAAACGAAACAACAACAACCAACCAGAAAAAACAACAACACAAACAAATGAGAATATAAAATAGACAATTATGACAAATTTTCGATAGCTAGCAAAACAAAATTAGATCAAATAATGGTGCTAAATAAAAGGAATACACGACGGAAAAGAAAATGCAACAAAACGGTAAAAAATGATCGCGCGAAACGCCGATTGAACGCATCTCTAAATTGAGATGTGTGACAATCGAACTACGAATACCGGGATGACCACAGTTGATAATGTGCAACAAAAAAAACCGTTTAGGAAGATGAAGATGAAAAAAATTTATTTAAAATTAAAACAAAAACGAAAAATGGAAGATTTAAACATTTGAAAATAAGTGAAAACACAAGAGGAAAAAAAAACAAAAAAATATTTGAGAAATTTTATCTTTTGAATGTTCATATAGAATTTCAATCTTTACGATCAACATGACATGCAAATCTTTTAAAAAATGACTTTTAAAAATGACAAAAAAAAACAAACACACAGAATTTTAATAGCATTAAAAATCTATTCATGGAAATAAAAAACGATTTCACGATATAATAATAATAATATATAAATGTCTTTGAACTAAAGTTTACACAAATTGAGTTTTCATTGGTGTGTCTAAATTATAATTATAGCCCATGGAAGGTGACAAAGGTGAGTTTTTCTTTTCCTTTTCTTCTATTTTTGACGACCATTCAACGCCAATCCAAATATAATAAATAGCACTGAATAGCATATCTGTGATTTTATTGCCAAAATACGGGAGCTAATCATGTGTGATTTGATGTGTTTACAAACAAATTCCGATTTTCGGTCAAATCGGATGACATTTCACACTTGCACACCATGCGGCACAGAGTGTATCAATCAAAATGCTATTTGAATGTTTGACGTTTAACAAACGGCTGTCGTCGAAAAACCAATTGTAGCTTCAGCTGTCACACTTTACCTACGATCCAAATTGTATTTGTTGTTCACCTTTGGAAGTTAGATGTATCGCATCCACCTGTGAATCGCTAACGATTTTTTTCTATCTATTGCTACCTCCATGTGTGTTTAGTTTAGTTTTCTAGTAGTCTAGTCCAATATTTTCTGATTTAAAAAAAAAAAAACGTCATTTCTACCACGTAGGTACATTGCTCGTAAATCGACCCAACGTAAGTACTATATAAAAACGGCCTAGTGACGCATACAAGTTTATCAATTTTGGTTCAAATAATTCTCTTATCATTTTTCCGATATATACGCTCGACTAAATGAACAATAACAATGATCGCCTTGCACGTCAATGGACATATTGAAGTACTTAGGCTAGTACTAGCCGATCAAACACACAAAGGCGTTGTTAATCAGTTTGAGTCAGTTTCGTTCGACAAAACAAGCAATTTACAATTGAAGTAGACCAACAAAGTTTGGAAATTTTACCAAAGTAAATCCGAGTAGTTCGTTCTCAAAGTAATCGTGTGCCATTTTTTTCATACATCCTTCTTCAGAATTATTTGATTTGGAAACGGTGTGACGAAACCGATTGATGTATTAGTGCCGCAAACATAAAAACAAACGAAATAAGAAGGAGCCAATAATAATTTATGTGCACTTTGAGTATGGAAAACGGTGTTTTGCTGGTGGTGCCGGACGAAAATTACGGAAAATCTCAACACATTCGAAAATTCATCTAAAAATAAACCGTGCGGAGTTTCTGATAAAGCAAACGACAAGAGCGAAACGAAAAAAAAAATTACACGAAACTGTAACGAAGACGAATTATTGTCGAAATTGATGCAAATGTAAACCGGTGGTTTACACAACAAACAAACACTCTCGTCCCAACAACACACTCACACACCACTCGCTCTATATGGGTTAAACAACGTTCCGTTTTGAACTCGTTTCGACTGTGCCGATTAGCAGAGCGACGACCATCCAAATTGTACACTTAGATTTTACCAGAAAAATCATGATGATGAACAACAGCAATGGTAAATTGAAAGCAACAACAAAACAAACGATTTCTTAAATGAAATATGGCGAAAATATTCCGCACATAACAAACAGTTCTCAGTTTTTCTTTTCTCCGCGCCTCCAACTTATCAGTCAGACAATCGGCAACCAATTCAAATTGTTCGAGATAAACTGTGACTATCGGAGAATGTTCTTAAAACATGACTCACACAGCCCGTGTTTGAAAATTAGTTTTTTTATGGTTTAAATTACCACGAATAATCATCTGATGACTTTATAGAATATACCTTGATCTACCACTATTACGTATTTTGATGACTCTTTGCTTACAGAATGATATTCATGAAATGTGCACTTAAACATGTCCTTACTTAGTACAGTCTTATCTTTAGAATCATGCGATATCAATACATTCCGTACATATGCTAAAATTGATAGTAAAACGAATAGCATTCGCGTAGCACGAAAAGAAAGCCAACCTCATTTATTTTATCAATGATTTACTATTTGCTGACACTTTGTTCTGATAAGAATTATCAATCATTGCCAAGTCATTGTCTCGTCAAATCTTTGGACTAAATTCTTTGTAAATATCACTTTCACTGCATCATCACGCACGCCCTTTGCTTTTGTAGTGAGAAAAGAACGAGCACAACTATTTACACGTATAAAATGGACTTATGATTCATATGTTATTCAATTGTTTATGATTTAAAATTATTTGTTGGTTTCACCACAAATTTCCCTTTCATGTCTCGATCTTTGGAATAGTTTTCACAAGAATCGAATGTAACTTTGATAAAATTTTGAATCAAATCACAAAGATAATTTTCTGTAGAAAATAGAGATGGCGTTTTCGTCAAGCGAAACATAACGAAAAAAAAAAGTTCGATTCGCAATGCAGACGGTTGAAGACATAAAGAGAGAGAGAGAGAGAGTGGGTTAAATTTTGAAATAGTTTCGACCAGTGCTTAAAATAGATACGCACAGAAATACGATTGTACAACAAAGACAAGTGATGGAGACCTGGTCACCGGATCATCTATTAGAATTGGATCGTCGATTCAAACAATGTTTTCTTTTCGTAAAATCTACTCCGAATGATTGATGAAAAAGTTTAAACTGACGATTATTCGTTGTTAATTTCAAGAATTTTCATCGAGATATGGATATGGGGATTTGGACTTGGAAAATGGATACTATGGCAGCTGTGATCACGATCATTTTGGACCATCATCAAGCTTGGGATTTATTGGGCAAAGGTAACTTGAAAATTGGTTCGACTCATGTCAATCGGTTCATATCAGCTCATTCTCATTGCAGGGCATTCGTAAGACATCGTTTGAATGCTGTTGACGATCGAACACCTTTGTTGAATGGATCGAATCGTTTGCGACCAAATTGCATAGATGCAAGAGTTTTCTCACTTGGTGTACTGTTCATCGGAGGGATCACCGTGGGTGGATACATGTTATATCAGCAAGGTGCTTACATTCTATCTATTCGGTTTTGTTTATATGACATTTAAATTATTTATTGATGTCAGACCGTCCATGGCCGATGACAACGGCTGGTATGTGGCTAGATTTTGTCAATCGGGAGGATTGGGGAGCCGCTAATTTTCCCATTGGCCGTCGTTTATCTAGCAATAATGTGGTCCACGTACTGTTGCATCATACTGCTACTGAAAATTGCTTCGATTTATCAACATGCAAAATGTTTGTGTACAATTATCAGGTGCTTGTGCTTCCCATCAGCTGTGAAACTGACGTTATAGTGGTGAATATTTTCATTTTGTAGAAATGGTGGAAGCAAACGGAAAATTGCGATATCCCATTTAATTACTTGGTCGGCGGTGATGGGAGAGCATATGAAGCCAGAGGATGGTCCGTTGAAAGTGATTACTCGCCTATTCATAGCAATAGTAGTCTGTCGATTGCTTTTATTGGTAAGTGGATGCACTCGGTTGAGTTGACACTGCACAACATGTTTAAACATTTTATTATCAAGCCGAGTGTCAATGATTGAATAAAACAATGACACAGACCTATTTGCATACTCATTCACATGATTTTTCATCAAATTGTCAATTACATTTGAACAGGTAATTTTACAAAAACCATGCCATCGGTAAAACAACTTGATGCAGCGCGAGCATTGATTTTGGAGCTGAAATTTCAACAGAAAATAGCCAAGAACTATCACATAACAGGCATTAGCTACCATAAAAGAGCACACCATGATGCCGCCGCACTATTTCAAGAAACATCCAATTGGCAGTGTTGGGACGAAGTGTATACTGTTTCACATTCATGACAAAATGAAATTTACGTTTTAAACAAATGTTCATTGATTTATTCCGTATAGATTTCTTTTTTTTCTACATAAATGGACAAATAAAGAGACAAAAACGAAGAGATTTTTTTATTATTAAAAAAACACATTTAACTTTATTTCCATTGGTACCTACAACTGAACCTATTGGCTTCTAGAAATCTTAAATTAGAATTCAAATCTCACGGCCGCACACAGAATTCGGGCTACTATACGCACCCATCGGCTTCAACACAGTATTCATAAGGACATGAGTAGGAAGGAAGTAATAGGTGTAAAGGATAATTGGGCGCATATCAAAAAGAAAAGAATAATGAAATGGTATGGAATGTAAAGTAACTTAATTTGAAAAGAATTGCACTTGCAATACAGTTTCATGTTCGTATAATTTATCAACCTAAAATTGAACAAACGATTCGATGAAATGTTGGTGGTGTTAAGCGCTTTGAGCTAAACGCATCTTCAAACTAAGCAAACTACTAGATGAACGTGGGAGTCGAGTGACTCTTGACTCAACGGGAATTTTTGTCAATTTAGCAGCACGTTTAGCTCTTAATATAGACAATTTTATTTCCCGGTAAAACCTTGAACGTGTCCATACCGAGATATAATGTGGTTTTTCGTCAAATGGATCCAGCTATCAGTTTGTTCAAGCTTTACTATGCCTCTCTTCGGAAGAACATTGAACCTATTTTAGAACAATACCTCTCTTTTTATTGCGATTGATTCAACTGTCCCCCAATTCTTTTGAACAAGTCGATCGCTTGATATGCATTCTAATAGATGCAACATTTTGGTCTTTAACACATCGTTAACCGGTAAAATTCATTAAACAATAATACATATTACAATTCTAATCAAAGTTTTTTTTTCTGAATACATTTTGGCATTTGTTTTTTTGCCGAGTTGCAAAACAACCAAACGGATTTGCGTGCTCGGAAATTGTCTAACGCCTCAACCCTAATCGACTTCTAATTTTCGAAAACTGCCTGAAATTGATTCGAAATTGGCTTGCATTGAATTTATACTATTTTTGTTGTTGTTATTGTTGTTTTTATCGTGACGACGAGTAATGCCACGATCACTGTGCAAAATCATTTGGTCTAAAGCGATTAAGACGTCTCGTTTGGCTTCCATTTCGGATGTCCAATATTCGATCATTTCATTCATCGGAATGTTACCGCCCAATTCGACTGGCAAACACGATTTGTCCACTTTTTTTTGCAATTCAAACATGTTTGTGTGCACTTGGAAGCGATCCTTCATTTTGGCACTAACTTTCGATTTAGCAAAGTCTAGTACGAATTTCACGGCATGCGGTACGTTGATCAAATGAACGGCTTTGTGACGGGCAGGCACCGATTGTTCGCCCCAGTTGAGAATGCGCGAAAAATCGCTTGGACTCCAATTGGTGATGTGAGCGGCAGTGATTCCGGTGATATCGCAGATATGAGTGAATCCAAGCACCTGATTCTCGGGATCTTCAAGCAATGTTTCGAGTGCAACAAAATATGCCTTCGCCATATCGTAGCTGGTGTATATTTTGGGATTGAAACAAGCTGCAAAGATCATTTTGGATTATTATTTTTTTTTTTGGTCTTGATTAGACACACATGAAAACAATTTTATTCAAAAAAAAATAAAAAGTCGGAATGGGTAAAGCAAATAGAATTGAATAGCAAACTCTTACATGCACGAATAATAATAACACGGCGTCCGTTTTGATCGCGAACAGGTGAAACGGTTAAATATCCATTGGTCAGAATTTCATGTACGGATTTGCTCTTGTAGTCCAAATTAGCGGTCATTTGTGGGAAAACTCGTTTCAAATTCAAATACTTGAGAATAATCTGTTGAGCCATTGGTACGCTGAATTTTTTCGCACGCAAAAATCGTAATAAAAATCGATCGTCGGTGCGCACATTTTCCACATCCTCATTCTTATTGAGCCAATTGCGCAACTGTTCCAAACACTGTTCGCGAGCACTTCGATCTTCGCGCAGCTCCTTGCGTGCCATTTTCAACGCCAAATCACTCAACTCCAATTCCTTGTCCGATTTATCTTTAACACTTATTTTCGAGCTGCGCCATGTATGCTTCAAAATATCGGCCGCCATTTTATTGATCAAAGTTTACACCTTTTGTTTTCACACAACGCACGTTATTTGATTTGCACGAATTTGGAACTGAAATGATGGAAAATAAAATCAAAACATTAATTTATTTGTGGTTTGTTACACAGTTTTGATTTGAAACGAGAAAAAATGAACTAACGAATTAAAAAGTCTTTCTATGGTTAGGCAGCACAAATTCTGCAAGTTCTTTCGGTAGTAGTCATAAACATACTGATATTCAAAAAAGAGTTGCGTAAAACAGACGATTATATATAAACACACACGTCTCAACCATACTATATGACTGTTCCAAAAAATGGTGGGGTCGGTTATTTTCTAAACATCATTTGAAAACTGGATTCTATGGTAAATTTGATTCTAATGTCCAAAAAAATATCTGTGAACTCTCATTATCAGTCAGTTACGCATTGAATTGGGTTTTTACATTCAATTCAAAGATCAATACGTGGGTTCTTTTTGTGGTTTATATCATGTATTCATTCTTCTCTATTCATTTCCAAAACTATGCACCAAAATTCGCCGATGTATTTAGACTTTGACTATATGGCATCACGTAAACCATAACCTTGACTCCTGCGATCTAATGGACAGCAAGTAAAAGCTATGAAGAAATCTAACTTGATCTTATGATTATTTCACACAGAGAAAAAAAAACTATGACAATCATTTTGGGTAATAACTGGTTATGGAATAGGAATTACCATTTGACAAAGTAAAAAAGAAGCGAATTCATCCGATTAAAAAAAAAAAATTGGAAATTGCATCTCTCAGCTACCGATTCCGGTTTTTTCTTCTTTTCCACTCTCTTCTAATTTACTAATTATTGTTTCGGACAAATTGACGAATAAAAAAAAAACTTGCTGAATAGAAGCCATGTATGTGGTTATAAAATGACATCAATCAAACTTAAAACAAAAACGGGAGATAATAATCGCCATTCGTTGGTTCGAATGCATGTATCCAAATGAGATAATGGCCATTATTAAATAATCATCGGAATACCTAATCGACGCAATCGACACAAGACAAAGAAACGATAAAAAAAACATACTATGCGCTCTGCGGAACAGAAAGAGAGATAAATGTTTGCTCGGCACACTTTTCCATGAGCATTTGTATACATAAATCAACTGATTGAAAATTAAAAAAAAAATGGGCGAATGAACGAACAAGTATGTTAAGGCGTGTGTATGAGTGAAATGAACGAATTCACCGAAAATCAAAAATAAAAACAACCAAATCAAAAGAAAACGAAAGTTGCTTTTCATCTAAAGCAAAAAAAAACAAGTCACTCGGACAGATTTACTTTTTGCTCTCATGAATTTCACGCGCTCGATTGCGCTGAACTCTTGTCCCGCGCACGCGTATGCGTGTGTATTCCAGCTCCAGCATTGGGTTCGGAGCTGGATACTGATATGAAGCAAGGGAGCAGAAGAAGCCGGTGCATACAGCATACCGATTGCGAGAAAAAGAAAAAACTGCTTGATAAATTGAATCGAAATGAAAGAGAAATCGTATTTGAAAAATGAGAAAGTACGAACAATTGTAAGTGATTACTAATGGAATGACATTGCGTAAACGACTGATTTTTTGGGTATTTATTTTCTTTTTCGTGTGTTATTGTTGTTGGTGTCGCAGCGGTGAAAGAAAACAGGTGACGAATGATTTAAAATTCTTAAGACGAAAAATGATTGTGCACCGCACGATCTCGCATCCATTTATTTGATCAGATTGAGAAAGCCAATACCGTTTATACAACGTAAATATTTCACAACGCAATAAAAAATGATCTATTCAATAGAATAGCCGCTGGCATCTTTAAATGCCAATAAAGTAATAATGGGGTGGCTATTATTATTTGCCGTATGACCAATATTTCATCTTTAAACATTCATTCATTGTCAGAAGAATGCTGTAGTTAATTTGGTTTGCTTTTTATTCCCATTTACAGCCCAGCCTCAATAACTATTGTTGGAGAGAAAGAAAGAAAAATTGACAAGCCAATAATGGATTCGCAGACACCCAACAGCGGCCAGAGAGAAAGCAATTGGTTCAGCGATTTTGAAACCATAAAAATCAAAGGAATTCACATGAAGAAGAAAAAAAGGCACACAACATCAACATGACTCGTCAAAAAAAAAATTGGTTGATTTGCTCAGATTATGCAACATTTGATGCGTGTCGCACTTGCACATCACATGAATTTGGGTTAATTATATGCAAAATTGTTCGTTTTATCTCAATTTTGGTAAGGTTAATGTCAAGCCGCATAGATTTTCCATAGATCATGTGCATAGATATTTATCCTGATACACTACCATGTGCTCCAATTCATGATATTTGTATCGAATGCAACCAACTCAAGTACGGACGGCATTCGCATGGACTTGAAATGAAAGTAAAATGGTTGATATTCATTGGTTTAAAAAAAAAAAATCAGATATTCAAATCGGACTGAGCATACAAAATTGAATTGAAGTCAAGACGAAAATTCAATTCAGTCGGCAGTCTTTGTTGTTGAACATTTTTGTCTCCGCCATTAGGTGATTTTTTTTCACATTTGCGCAGATCATCATATGATATTACGACATTCCAGATATTTTATTTTCGTTTTCAATGATAATTCTGGATGTTTTTGGAACGATGAACATCTTGTCTAAATCACCAGCTCATTTGCATAGTGGTTTTCTAACATCGGGTTTTTTTTCGTGTTATTTATTTATTTTGTTGTTGGTTCATTTTGGTTGATGCCATTCATGCGACCATGACGTTGTTCCAAATTGCGTTGTTCTTGGGAGAATGGATTTATCATATCGATTTGTCCATTTTCAAATGAAATGAAATGCAAATTCCTTTATCTATACAATAAATGCTTTTGCCTGCTGCTTGTTTTGATTTGCTCGATTTTGTTTTGTATTTCCAAAAATAACATGAGATAGAAAAATGAGCTGAAATTCAAAGTTCATTATCCATGAATCCAGAAGATGATTCCGATAACGGATGTATGACGATAATTTGAATGGCTTGCAGTTATATTTAAACATGCCAAGCCCAAAATTGTATATACCAGTGTCTGATTATTATAAGCTTGAACACTTCGAACGTGTTTGTTGACGATTTTTTTTCTCTCAAGTTTTTATGTGAAGCCGAAATAAAAGTTTTGAAATTTATACTGTAATTATCTCGATCGATATCTGTGAGTCAATATCAGCGTATAGCCGAGCAAGGCGCATACATGTTTGAGAAAATGCACCCGAATTTTCAATGCTAAATATTCGTTTTTTCAATGAATGTGTGCCTAGTAGGCAGTGCCTACCTCACAAAACATCGTATCATATATTCGAGTAATGTAAAATATAAAAATAACATCGCTGTAATGAAAGACAGAGGCGATCATTGCATAATGGCAACTATTATTCGTGTGTGATCATTCCGCACAGGCCGCATGGCGTGTGTGCGCGCGCTCGCGCGGATTGTGTTTTTTGTGGTCATACACATTGTGTGCGCCGTTCGGAAGAAGCGATGGAAAGTACACACAGCACACATTATCAAACTGTGCCATGTAATTGTTCGTGTTGTGTGTATTGACAGTTAAATATTTAACTGGATCTCTTTGTTGAATTTCATTCGAAATTTATGTATATGGCTTTCTGAAATGTGATCTCTTGCTCTCAGTGGCCAGCAAATTTGTTGGCCGGTGTCGATCTAAAAGCGAAATGTAAACATCAAGAGGCGTAAATAAGAAACAAGAAAACTTAATATGTTGTATGATCACCGCGAAAAGAAAAACAAATTTATACATGAAAATTTACTTACATAGACACACAAGAAGAAAAAAAACAGCGTAATTCACAAACGTGAAATAAGTTACGACAACCGAAAATGACTTCGGGTTTTTTTTTCTCTCTTCTCTTCTTTTCCGAAGTAAAATGCTGGTGAGTTGTAAAAATAAAAGTAATGATGTTGGAGATGACAATGGTACAGCAACATATATGATAGTTGTAGACAATGTAAAAGAAAACCACCATCGGAATGTGAACTGAATGAATTTGACGCGATGTGTACACGGTGTGCGCGCGAAGCTCAGTTCAGAAAAAAAAAGACTACATACGATTGCATAATGTATTTGCCTGTGATATTACACACTGATTGGAATATGTGAAGTGACGATTAAGCTCATGCGACTCTCAATTCGAATAAATGTTGAATTTATTATTCACTGTTCTGAACATGTATTGTGTACACTCTCGTTTTTGGTATAAATTCAACAAGCGCACAATTTTAACAACATAAACAAAGCCCATGCAAACCGAAATCGAAACAAGGTAATTTGTGGTTTGACCGACAAGATAAAAATAGCTTCGTGTTCATGTTCAAAGGAAGTTTAGGTGCTTCTGGAAAAATCTTCGATTAAATCATCAAATTAGGTCGTTGATTCAATACGTGGGCGATTCGGCTTACCAATGACCATTGAAATCAAAACCTCAAACTGAAAAAAAAAACCAGAAAGTGAGTAACCGCAAATTGATTTTTTATGACTGTAATCCACCATATTTGCCAAAATCGAAGAATAAGAATACAAAATGTTAAAGCTTCCAATTATGTGCTTTACGAATCGATAACCATGGACTTCCGTTCAAACATCTAATTATTATTTCATGGAGGCAATCATTTTTCGGTCAATTCCAACTTATCGGTTAGTTTTGTATTTATTTTCGATTTGGGTTTTACAAAACAACAAGATTGATTCAAGCCCAAAACCGCTTTTTTTTCCTTCGCTTTGTTGAAATGAAATAACGGTCACGAATCAAATGTGCGTGCGAAATTGAAATAAATGCGTAAAATTCATCATATTGAACGAAAAACAAAAAATTGCATAAATTGAAAAAAATGACAACAAACGTTTGGATCCGCTATTGCTCAGTCCAACAATATGACGAAGAACGAAGAAGGCGAGAAGAAGAAGAAAAAACCTCCGCGCGCAGGTAATGCTAAAGCAGTTCACGGACAAAAGACACATATTTTATGTCTAATGTCTCGTTTCTGAATACATCGCCGTTTGTACAACCATATGTGATCTACTTGTCACCACATTTGATCATCTGACTACATTTCACAACTGTCTCAAACATTTATTGTTGTTGACAACAATTCTCTCCTCCGTCGTTGTGTTTTTCTTCTTATGTTTTTCGTTGTTCGGTCAGTTTAACTGGTAATAGCATACGGTTTCATGGAGTGCGGTTTCTGAAACGCGCCAAAATGTCTAAATAATTCAGCAAACGCGCGCGCACACACCAACATTAAATTATTGAAATGAATGGCGCATCACAAGCTCGCATAAAATGTCATATTATCAGTGCAATGCCGAATTTCGTATGTATGATTTACTTTTTTTTTTGGGGGGGCAAAGCTGTTAATTAACGAGATGTATCAGTTAGTAATTTGCATTACAATGTGCTCCACTAAAATATATCAACGATTTTGATCGGACTGCATTATCATCAGTTGCTTTTGTAATGAAATTTTATGCCTATTCCAACATACGGCACCGATTAGATTACGTATCGAGAATTAGTTTGGTGGCGTTTTCTTCTTCGCTTCTACGCCAATCTCCCGTATTGCATGGAATGTTGAAACAGCCTGTGTTCGCTTATTGGCTTTGAAGATTT